AGGCTCCCAGTGGCCTGTGCACTGTTGCAATTTGTTACACAGCAAACTAAAAGACCAAAAGATGTGTTTTGCTTTGCTATGTAACAGAGTCATTTAAAGTGAAATACACTGCTGCACGTGTACAACTGCTGCAGCTGCCCCTTCTCCTGCGGCCAAGGGGTGAGCTGTTGGTGGGCCGAGTGGCCCCTGAGCTGTGGGGGGTCCCAGACTTGTGGGTTGGATTAAGTTGATTTTCTACATTTCTGCCAACTCGGCTGTGAAACTGATCTTAGGCAGCTTGCAGTAATTTTGAGGAAATTCTCAGAGCACTAAAAAGGACAATTTTTTCCAGCCTGTCCTCATTTAAAATGTACATTTTTTTTTTTTTCTTTCTCCCTTTTTTAGCTTGTATAGTCTTTAAGACAGGTTGATTTCAGGCAGACTTGATGTTTCCTTTCCTTGTACCTGTCTTGTCCCACTGCTGCCACATACCTGTGTGCTGGCTAGGAACACTTGTGCAGGTAGTCAGTCTGAGGTTGGTCTGGCCACTGATGAAGAGGAGATAGGAGGAAGCAAATAGCCCTGAGTGGTGTTGGCAGTGTAGTAGAAGTGATTGAGAGAGCAAGGGTTGGATCTCGCCAGCTTGACACAGTCAAGAGCAGGAGACAGCAGTTTTGCTGAGCAAGAGACAGTCGACTCAGCTGCATGGGTTCTGCATTAGCAAATGGGCAAGGGGCAAATATAGGACCTGTAGCACTCTTAAACTGCATGGGATCCTGAAAAAGTCCTTAGATACGCCACTCTAGGATATAATTATTAAATAAGTTCATTTATCACTCTGGCATGACATAATAAGACTTCTGGTCAAGAAACCAAACAGATGGGTGTATAAGCGTAGGAGAGATGTGATATAGTAATCTAAACTGGGGCAAGGTTCTAGATTTTAAATTCTTCTCTCAACTCTGTTCTCGGGTAAATCAGTTAATGTTTGTTTAAGCGTCCTGAAAATACCTTATGAGAATGTTTTAAAAGTATCTTGAAGATGTATATCTATTTAAAATGCTGATTCCTGAATAAATTCATATTCAAAAAACAACTATTTCACTTGCAGTTACTATTCTACAGTCATTTTTGGATGTTTGTTTTGGGTGTTTTTATGTTAGTTTTCAAAAGATGTTGACATTTTTGGATTCCTATAATCTCAGCTGCTCCATACCTTCAAAGGTCAATGAAAAGAAGTTAACAATGTGTGTCATTGTAGGATCTTCAGGATGAAGTAAAGAGGGAGAGTAGTAATCTGCAGAAGCTGCAAGCTCAGAAACAGGAAGCACAGGAAATCCTTAATGATCTCGATGAGCAAAAAGCCAAGTTGGAGGAGCAACTTAATGACATACGGCAGAAATGCACTGAGGAGGCTCATTTGGTAAGATTTGGTAGTTCAGATTTGAGAGTGGTTCCTTTCTTTGAGACGAAGGCTGTTCTTCGCGGAAGTCCTGCCATACAGTCCTCCAGAAAAGAATAGTACTTGGGCAAGGTGCAAAACTTGCATAGGAGGAAGTGTGTCCCTTTGGACTTCGAGGAACAAGGTGTAGGGAACACATTATTTGTTCAGTGGTCTTTTGATTCCTAGAGATTCTGCCAGGAGTAGATTTCGTAGACATTTGGGCTGGAAGGGATCCTGGAGGATCATCGAGTCCAGCCCCAGGTTGGAAACTGTAGGTTGGAAACCGTTAGCTACTGTCCTGTAAACTGCAGGTGCACCTAGCAGCATCCTGACATGAGCTCTGTGAGCACCATTTAGATCAGTGGTGCTCAGCCTTTTGGCCCCACAGGCCAAATTGGTGGCGCAGGCCCCTGGACCGGGCCCTGTGCTGCCCAGATTGGGCCCTGCACCATGCCATTTAGCCCTATGCACCCAATCTAGCATGCAGAGCCACAGTATCCAGCCCATGGGGCTCCTTACAGGTCCAGATATTTGGCAGCAGGGGAGTGGCAAATTAATTGCACTGCTTTCCTGCCACCAAATTTTTGGATCTGTGAGGATTCCCTGTGGGCTGGATGACATGGCTCTACATGCTGGATGTGGCCTGTAGCCTGTGAGCTGGGGGCTGAGCACCCCTGGTTTAGACTATAGGTTTCACAAAATGCATTGGTCAACTCTTGATATGAACTATTCCTTCTTTGTTATAGCATAACCCTAAACAAAAGGTTTTAAATATAAAAAGATGGCCTTCATTGGTCAGAGAAATGTTGCTAAACCCTGCTGGCCGTTGTGATATTGCATCCCAGCTGAAACCAGTACTGGCTAACCTTTATGGACATATGATTTTAAATCTCCATTGGGAAAGATCATAATTATAGATGAGGTTTTATGGTTTCCTGGTACTTGAAAGGTAGGTTTTGCCAAACACGTTATCTTTGGTTTTGGCTTTAATGAAATGTTCTTTTACTTCTCAGATTGCCTCGTTGAAGGGTGAAATAACTAGTCAAGAATCTAAGATCTCAGCATATGAAGAGGAACTGTGCAAAGCTCAGGAGGAGCTGAGTCGCCTGCAGCAAGAAACTGCAGAGCTTGAGCAGTGCGTTGAGTCAGGGAAGGCGCAGCTGCGACCCCTTCAGCAGCATCTGCAGGATTCACAACAGGAAATCCATGCAGTAAGTCGCTGTGCCAGAGATCTGCAGATGGCAACCTAGCATCTTAATTGACATCCTTTGTCCAGTTTGGCCTGGTCATTTGCTCTCTTTGGCACATGTTTGTTTATTCGACTTACCCAAACTTGTTTTCTACCAATTCCTGTTAAGATTTCTGAGGTTGGATATTGAAATACAGGAGGATGCTATATTATAGAGGTATTATGATGATGATAAGGTATTTGCTGTTTTCCAAGGTCAGTAAACTTGCGGATTGGATGAAAAGAAGGAGACCCTTTATTCCTTGTAATTAGGAAAGTGCTTACCTCATTAAAAATTTTTTTTTTTTTTTTTTTTTTTTTTTTTTTTTTTTTTTTTTTTTACATAAAAGGGAAGTGTAGGTACTAGTAGCACATGCTTGAGATCAGCATGGACAGCTGGCTGCTTGTCTAACTTTGTACTCCTTTGCTTTTCTGTTCTTCAGCTGATTTGATGCGAGTAGAAACTTTCTGATGGTAACATAAAGCTTTGATTTGGAGCACTGTCTAATCAGGATTAGGACAAAATTATCAGATTTGTTCCTGTTTGTGTTTAGGACAGATTAATTAGACTGGCATTTTCAGAGCTGTCAGGGGTATTTACAAAAACACTTCTGTGATTTTCCTTCTAGCACTTCTGTTGCTGGCGCTCAGTTTCACTTCATGTGAATTGATTTCTTTGGAAGAATAATTATAATATATTTACACAACTTGCTTTCAACCATGGGCATATAATTTAATTAACAAATAGACTTGGCATTGTTGCATTCAAGGGCAGGCAGCAAGGTTGAGAGAATATCTAGCATCTAGGGTTTTTTTCCCTTTTTTGTGTTAGTGAGAGATGTTTTCAATGATAGCTGGTCTGTCAGTTTATTTTTAATGATTGTTAGTTAATTGTTCTCTTATTAAAAGTAGTGGTATTTAGGTTTTGAACAGATTTTCATATTCATGTCAGTATTGTTTTGTAGTCCCCTTGAAATGGTGTTGTAGCCGTGATGGTCTGGGAAATGTGCAAGGGACAAAGATTTATTTATTTTTTGGTAATGCCTTTTATTGGATCAACTGTATATTGCTGGATCAATAAGGTGTCACTAACTTTGTCCCACAATATTTAACTGGTCTTTTAAATTTTATTCCTCCTGGCTTACACATAGCAAACAGCAGGTGTACTAGTTGTAGGATGATCCATTGATTAGTTCACTATGTGGGCCTTAAATGATGCTGTGTCATTTCCTCTGATCTCTACGGGATTCCTGTATGACTTAGCACATCACTTTAAATCCAGATTCTGAAAGGTTTTTAGATGCAACCTTTTATTTAGTTGCCAATACAATCTCAGATTTTGAAACCAGTGAGAATTACGCACCTAAATACCCTGATCTGGACTTCATTCCTTACACCTCATCTAGAAAATCAGTTAATGTTTCCCTTCATAGTAGAGTGGTGTTGAGTTGTCTAATAAATGCATTACCTGTGTGTAGATCAATATAGATGTATACCTGGTTAGGGAGATGCACTTTTTTCCCTTTAGACTCCAAAAAAAAATGTGGCTCTCTTGCCCCCTCTTTGGAGAAGATTAGTAATCTGTAGTTGTTCCCCGAGGATGGGAGTTCTGATAAATCTTTATTTCTCCATGCTGGGATTATGATTTAGTTTTAACTTTCCTTATTAAAAAAAATAAACCTGGCAGATGGGGACTAACACATCTTGCCTGCACTCTTAGATGGGCCTGTGACTTTTGCTAATACTGCTACTTGTCTTCAGCGCATTTTATAAAGACCAGTGGTTTGTTACAACACCCAACGAGATGGGAAGACATTTGACGGAGGAAGAGACGATGCAGTAGAGGTGGTGACTCGTCTAGCTCTGCAGATTAAATTCTTGCCAGAACTGCAACTAAAAACCTCAGTTCTCAGCATGAGTTCTGTACTGAGACCACAGTATCTCTCCATTTTTAAATATGAACCATTCTAATCCATGTTCTGAATCACATACCTAAGATTGAAACCGAAGAGTGTGGCTCTGTTTTATCACTTTCAGGAAACGGTGGTGTTACTTTTGCATGTATGCAAGTGTACCTTGTACCATTTTGCCCTGCTGCAATACTAATGCATGTTTTCATTCCATTTACAGGTGCAGACAAAACTGTTTGAGCTTAAAGATTTGGAAAATAATCAATTTAACTGGCATAGTCGCCCACACAACACACTTGTTAATGGGACAGCAGATCATTCTAGTCTTAGCAACAGCAGCAGTGAAACTGCTAACCTTAATGAGAGTGCTGAAAGGGAGAGTTCAGCAGAAGATGAACAAATAAGTCATGAGTCTCCAGTGAGTAAAGTGCTCTGATTTATATTCTCTGTTACAATACAGTAGATTGGTGAAGTCTGATGAGATGTTTGTAAGTTAACCCTGTGTATAGAAAGCACAAAAAGAATGTCATGGTGTTATTTTAGAGAACTACATTTCATTTGTCTAAGTAGAGCAGTCAAGTAAGGCAACATGGAATGAAAAATAATGCAGAAGTTGCAGTGCCTTTTATCTTGGAGTCTTCGTTCTTATAGCATCTGCAGGATTCACTAAGCATATTATATAGGACTCTGCAGCATATACAGAGCCTGTTGGCCACTAATAAGATAGTTCCCTTTTAGATATTTGAATGTGCATTTTAATATTTTATTTGGCATATGGAAACTTTTTATATTTGGCAGATCAATCCCTTTTTTTTAAATTGGAATGTCTGATTTAAAAACATATTTGGCATATTCTTTTTTTCTCCTTTTTTTTTTCTTTTTAAGCATATCCCACTTCCCACCCGGAAATCTTGCTGTTTTCTAAAAGATAGAATCTCTCCATCTCTGGACTTTATTATTATTCTTGTTTGTATAGGTAAGAAATAGTCCTGAAACAACACAAGCTGTCATAGAAGAAGAGAAAGAGACCCTGACTGAAAATATTACCAAAAAAGTGAGTTTGAAGAAACTTTGGAAAGAAATACACTTTTGAGACAATGCATTAGATTTGCATCTAAACATAGTTTATACAGTGACCATTTAGGGAGACTTTCTGTTGACTGACCTCTCAGATGTCTGTTGATACGTTCAGTAGAATGCAAGTTGTTTGCCTTTTAACATTTTAGGACCCTTATTTTCTCTGAATTTCAAAAGAAGCGATATATCTTTTCTATCTTTTTTTTCTTTTTAAAGAATTTCATGCTTTTTGCATCTTCCCTTCCCCAGGAGGAGCCATTTGATGAAGAGTCTCCTCCACTACCTGATCCGGTTACAGAAGCCAATTTAGATTTCTTCCAGTCTGACCCTTTTGTTGGCAGTAAGTAGAAATTTCAGTATGAATTTGCCAAAGAGGATTGCTTAAACTGATGGGTCTGAAATTGTAGTTTTGTTGGGACTAGAACTTTGTTTTATTATTGGTCCTTTCACTGACTTTGGTGGTGGTGGTGTCAAACTTACTGGAATCAAATGTGAGTGTGCTGGTCCAAGGGCCAGGAGAAGGTAACAAACAGCTTTTCTGTTTGTTCCTGATTATGAGAAAAGAGGTTTGAAACTTTCCTCATTTATCCACACCTTCCCTGCCTCCTTCCAGCAAAGGCAGGGGAAAGGGAGGGTGTTTATACTGAAACCTGTTATGCTGAGAAGCCCTCTTGTACGAAAGATGAAGGAGGGCAGTTTCAATCTGTTCCATATTGTATAAACTTTGAGCCCATTAAAGTCTAACCTGAGGGGAATAAAAATGATGTGTGATTTGCTGTCGTCTCACTGAACACTTCTCAGCAATGTTATTGGTGTAGTTTTGTATTCTAAGGGCTTGCCTATAGAGGAAAATTAAGTAAAATTTAATCCAATGTAATTCAACTTAATTAAGTATTAAAAAAAGCTCTTGTATCAGCAGTCTTTTTCAGAATTAAAGTTCTCTGAAATCAGTTTAGCATAAATCAGTTTAGTATAAATTGAATTCCAACTTTAATTCTTAATGAAAGTGTTGACACAGGAGTCCAATTCTGCTTAATTTATCCACTTTAACAAGTGAATTTGCATTTATTTTGAGTGCCCCCATGGGGACAAGCAGTTCGCGTGCGTGTGTGTATACATATATGTATGGATAAATGTTGGGCTATTTGTTTGTTTGTCAACAGGTACCACACAGATGCATCTTTGAGCTTTATCATCCCTTTGAATGTGGTCTGTGCTAGGAAATAGTAGTGGTGGTGAATGTTGGCTTTTTAATACCATCCATTCTAGTCCTACTAACATGGATTAAACTTTCCCTGAGTAATGGGGGCAAGGGTTGTTAGCCTGTTTTGAATCTGTACCTAAGTAGCACTCATTTCAGTGAATATTATGCTAACGGATTTGTGACTATTTCTCTTTTTCTTAAACAGGCGATCCTTTCAAAGATGACCCCTTTGGGAAAATTGGTAAGTAGGTCTAACAGCAGTTCTTTTTTTCCCTACAAGTACTCATATTTTATATATCTAATATGGGGGGGACCCAAGTAATTTGTTTAGAATATGGAAAAACTTTAATTTTTGGTCATTAGTTTGAATCTGAGCAAAGCAGTAATGACCTGAAATAATTACTATTTGATAGGTGTACCATGTCTTACAAAGTGTCTTAAATAAGTTTAGGCTCCATAGCTTTAATTATTGTCCATATAAAATTTCCTATTTCAATTGGCAATGCTCAGCCATTTGTATCAAGTCAGAGTTGAGTTCAAGGTACCCCAATAGTGGTGTCAAGTTTATTTCACTGCCAGTTTAGTATCTGTCCTGTAGTTAAATGGGACTGGTTCTTGAAGGTTATTGATCTAGCACCTTTTACTAGCATTACATTGCTTGAAGTTGAAGCCGCGCTGCTTAATTAGAATGGTGATCTAGACAGTATCACTGCATTACTAGGTCCTGAGCCATCTTAAATGTGACTTTCTCTGTTACAACTAGAAAAGTCCTTTCTCTTCGTATTAACCAATGTTTTTTGAAGCCAAGTACAATGGTTGGATATAGCTACAAATGGTATATGGAACACAAAATAAGGAAAACAAAAGACAGTTGGAGGACAGTAGCAAAACAGCATTGTATGCCAAGCTCTGTATACTGGTACAAGAAATGTATTGGAATTCCTAGATGAAACAGTATTTTAGCAAAAATGGAAAACAGACCTAGTTGGAGCATTATCTTAAGGAGTGATATAAGGATTTTAATCAGTTGCCATTTGTGTGGCACTTCTTGGGATGCTTTTGTTGTAGATCTTTTCAGTTCAGTACCCTGTCTAACGTATTAGTGTGCATTCACATGGAGAGTGTTATAATTCCCATGAGCTCACTGATCCTGTTTGCACTCTAGACTGAGAATTCTCCCTCTGTGCAGTTGTTTGCCAAACCTGACCCATCAAACAGTCTGCCTGTTAAGAGAGGAGAGGTGGGGAACAGCTATGATATGCTGGAGTTATGAGAAACTGGTTTCAAGGAAGTAAGGGTCCTTATTAGCAGGAGATAAGACTTCTGGAGAAAGATGCTGAGAAATGTAGAGTCAACGGAAGTTGGAGGCACTCGGTAGAATCAAAAGTGATCTGTCCCCGCCGCAGGTAATGATCAGGGAAGTTCCAGAGTGGTTCGGTTCAGCTAGTCAGTGATTTTAAAAGCAGTTCAAAGTACTAGAGCAAGCTACATTTAGTCATGCACCCCCCTCAAAATTTTTACCCAAGCCCTTCCTCTGTAAGGCATTATCCTTTATTCCCTGCTTCCCTAGGCAGTGTTCAGTTGTGAAATGTTCAATTAGACATTGGGCGTGAACAGAAGTGCAGCCATCACTGCCAAGCTGCCAAAGCATGTTCACACCCAAGCCCTTCTGATGACTCCACTGCACTCAGGCTTTAGCAGCTGTGCTGTCAGATCATGAAGTATGCTCTGGAAAGGCACCAGCTCCTGACTGAACAGTGGTGGCCAGCTGGAGGGGCCAAGTGTCTTTGTGTTTTCAGCTGGCTGCTGAGCAGTGACAGAAATCGTACGTCACTTGGCAGGTGTTGGAGCAGCTGTGCTGGCAGCATGGCAAGTTTTGCTGCCACAAAGGGTTTTCTAGGCTTCGGCTTCTCACTCCAATCCTGACTTTCCTCCATGGGGACTGGGGCCCCACATCCCACCTTGCATGAGGAGTCAAGGAAACAGTTTTCCAAGCAAGTTCAAAGTCCTTCAGAATTCATTGCACTCCTCATGGCATATTTTCCAAAAGCTTAAAACTCCTTAGTAGAAGCCAGTGGTAGCAGTGTGTCTGCAGGTCATTGTCTGTTTTGAATTTGAGAGTGCAAAGGTGTGGCTCTGGTTCTTTCCCATGGTTGTGAGTGAAAAAAGTTAGGAGAATTCTAGATTGTGCAAAATGCTACATTTTGCGGGAGGCTGCTTTGCTGCTCTAGATGTCTCCAAAATTGGATCAACTGCATAGTTGGCAGAGCAGTTAGACAAACTTTCAGGCATCAGCTGTCCTTCCTCAAGTCTGAAGGGGAAGCAGACTGAGGCTGAGCTAAATTACAAAGACCAGACTCCCAGCAAATTTGTATATTCTTCTTTGGAGGGTGGAGGAGGGCTGATGATGGCTCTACACCAGACACCCATAAGGCACAACATTTCAGAGCAATCCAAATAAGCTTGCTGATTCTTGAGTATTTCACTGAACTTTAAGAGGGAAGCAGTGATCCACTTGAATTGTAACAGATCAATCACTCCAGTATTAATAGGAAGGAACCAATACAAAATCATGTGTTTGTTTTTTTTTAAGACGTTTGTCTAAATGAAACAAAACATCTTAATGACAAATGTTTCTTAAATAAGTGCCCTTTATTGTATGCAGATCCTTTTGGTGGTGATCCCTTCAAAGGTTCAGATCCTTTTGCAGCTGACTGTTTTTTCAAGCAATCCTCTACTGATCCTTTTGCAGCAGCATATACTGATCCTTTCAGTGCAACAGGCAATAATCTCACAGTAAGTTTGGAAGAAAACAGAAGGTGTTTGGTCAAATGCCTTGACTGATAGTTTGGTCCAAATGGAACCATTTTGTGCATAGGGACATGCTTTGAAATGCAGATGTTTGCTCCTTGAGATGAAATGGATATTTTGTTCCATGAGTGTGTCTTCAAAGATCTTTGTTCTAATTCCTAGAACCACATTTTCGGACAGTATCTCAAGAAATACTGTAGGGCAGGGGTTGGCAGCCTACAGCCTGTGGGCCAGATCCAGCCCATACAGTCATGCCCATGGCAGTAGGGGGCTCCAGTAGCAGGGAACTTCTACTGCACTGTGCTGCACTCAGCCGCCTGGTGCTCTCGCGGAGGGATAGCACTCTCTCTGCCTGTCTGCACTGCAGTCCAGCAGCACAGGGCTCTGTCAGGTGCCACAGCTGAGTGGTGGGTGAAACAGCAGTGGCAGTGGGTCCTAATGCCTGCCTGTCTCAGACCCAAGCTGAGTCATTCTGCCTCCTTTCCCCACCCCACCCCACCTCTGATGTAGGGCATGGTAGATGTCTCATTCTTTTAGACTCTGATAGCACTAACCAAACTTTTCATGTCTGATTTCAACCATTTTCCCCCTAAAGAATTGAATTACTGAGGGAGTGAGGACCAGTTGCTATTTCTGGCATGATTACCACCTTAATCGTACCAGAAATGTAACACATGCCATGGGCCTGTGTGTAGTTCATCATGGTAATAAGATGTGTGCTTACGGATGGAGAAGTAAAGGCTCTAATCTTTTAGGTGGCTTAACATTTTCCTTGCTTCTGTGATGAGGGAGAGAGGATGCACATGGCAGTTTGACCCTTTTATGACAACTGTACGCATTAATACATTTTAATTAGAAGTTGATGAAGAAGAGAGCTAATTTTAGAACTCTGAGCTAAAAGCAAATATGTGAATTCCCACACTCTGGGAAAGTGGTTATGAAGCACGTTACACAGATGTTGATCTCCGTTTCCACTCTGGAAAAGTGCCAGTTGTGTTCTCAAAGAGCAGCTCTTTTAAGGTGATTCATGCTTTAGTTTCAACAGAAAGGTCCTCAAAAATCAAGAGCCTCCAAAAGAATTACGGTGTTCTTTCTAAATATACTTTAGAACCAAAATGACCCATATTTGAGAACCAAGTTGGGTACAGTCAGGAAATTAAAAAAAACTTGGTGGCAAGTTTAACTGGAGAATAGATTAGTATGTCTTTGAATACTGCACTTCCAGTCTCATGTTAAAAATTGCTTCTTTTCAAATTTCTCCTAGAATATAGTAGCCACTACCGAATTGCCCATCAAGAATGACAGGGGAGAGGGGCAGGCGGGTGGGGGCGGGGTGAGGCCAGCAGGGATGGAGCACAGCCACCCACCACCCGGCACTGCTGCTGCCTCCCAGGAGCAGCGTGGGGGGAAGCTTGCCCCTCTGCCCCCCTACACCAGCACCCTGGACTGCTGTCCTCGCCTCCCCCCGCTCTGCCTCCAAGGAGCAGGGCTGGAGGGGGTGGGGCAAAGACAGCAGTGCTGGAGATGGCAGCAGTTTGGGGAGCTGGTGGAGGGACACAGAGGCGATGGTGGGGCAAGCTTTCACTCCCCCCCCCCC